TCGATTCCGGTCAAGGGCATGTACCTTGGTTGCGGGCACATCCCCACTGGGGGGCGTCGTGAAGGAGGCTGATCGATCTCTCTCATCGATGTTTCTGGCTCTCTATCCCTCTCCCCTCTTCTCTGTAAAAAATCAATAAAATATATTTTTTAAAAAAAACACTTTGTGAATATGTGGTTTCATATTTATGGGGTATGTCTTCAGGATAAATGCCTTGAAATAGGATTTCTTAATGAATCCATCTACATTGAGATTATGCCAATGTCCCCTTCATAGAGTCGAACTATTTTGCATTTCCCTGCAATATATGAAGGCAACTGTTTCTTCACAGCCTTACCAAAGAATGCAATGCCAAGTTTATGGGTCTTCTCCCAATAGGAGAGAAACTATAGTATAGTTTTATTTGCATTTCTTTTGTGTGAAGACATTCAAATGTAATCTGCATTTCTTTTTCTGTGACTGGTCCATTCAGACCTTTGATACTACTTTTAGATTCACTTAATTTCTTTAAATAAGCCTTTATTGTTTTTTTGTTCAAACCACTGTTGCCTCTTACCTGGGCTCCCTGCTTCCCCCCCTATTCTCAAACAGTAGCTTCTTTCTCACTCTCCTCTCTTTTCCTAGAACATCATTTCCCTGCATATAATCCTCCAATTATTTCCCATTACAACTAGACTAAAATTCATATTTTTTGTCAAGGTCCACTAGGCATACAAAGTCTTAATCCACTATATTCCTCCTGGCATCCCTTTCTCTCTGCTGCAGCCATCGCCATGTCCTTCTGTCCTTTTGCCTGCACTCGGGCGTATTGCCATCTGAGGAACTCGGCATGGAAGCCTCCTCCATCCTCACATGGCTCCCTCTCGATGTCACTTAGGAGAGCAGCTGTCTTTAACCACTCTGACTTTCTTACCTGTTCATGTGTTGTCTGCCCCGAGGCTCCTCTGGAATGTAAGGACCTAAGTTACAGGTAGGGGCTTGTCTTGTATAACACTGTTTGTCCTATATCTGGAATGGTGCCCAATAGACATCTAACCACTTCAGTGCACCTAAAACCAATAAAGTTTCTCCCAATTTTCCTATATCTTTTATGGTTTCATCAAATGCTATCTTTTGGTTTATCATCTAAAATAAACATTACTTTCAGATCTTAGAGTAGTAGTTATTCAGAATTAAAGACATAAGAACCACAAAAACCTAAAAGAGGTTTGATGTCCAGTGACAATCAATGGTTACTTTAATTTGGGATAAGAATATTTAATGTTAAAATGCCTTAACTACAAAATGACATCCTAATCCTATATAATAAAAGGCTAATACAGTGGGGCCTTGACTTACGAGTTTAATTCGTTCCGTGACGGAGCTCGTAGCTCAAATTACTCGTATGTCAAATCAAAAGTGAACGAGTGAGACATGTGATGCTGGGCTGATGTTGTGGCATTCACTGTGACGTTCGCTGTGCCAACTAGCGGTGGGGTATCTGAAGCTGGCTCGTAACCCGAATTTTAGCTCGCAACTCAAAGCAAAAAATCGGCCGAGAGACGGCTCGTATCTCGAAAAACTCGTTAGTCAGGACACTCGTAAGTCAAGGCCCCACTGTATGCAAATTGTCCCCTTGACTGGGAGTTCCACAGGAGTTCCACCAGGGGGCAGGGCCGGCCTGCCAACTGTGCACCCACGCCCCCTCACACCCCCCCCCC